GCGGCCAGCTGCAGCCGAGTGTCTGTTTCTTCCAGACCCCCATCGCTTCTAAGTTGGAAGGTTTTATAGAGTTTATTTTAACAAACTTCAGATGTCCGGGTTTTTCCCCCCACCGTGCCTTTGCAGCTCGGTAATTGAGTCGACTTTCAGAGAAGCATGTCTGCAAGCTCAAGGCTTGTACTGTGTTTGAAAGGCTTACTTTGAAGTTGCTCTGCATTTTGATTTGGTGTAAGAGTACCGTTGTAACTAGAAGAGCTTATATTTTAGTTTAATAACATGGCTATGGTTATATGAAGAAAACCTTGTTCCTACTGATAATTCCCAGTTTAAATGCACTTCTAAAAAGAGTAAATCATAAAAGCAAAAGTCCCCCTTTGAAATACGCTTTATTTTAAATGAAAGTGGCAGGAAGAAAAAAAGTGGTGGTTGATGCACTTAAAGTAATGCAAACCAGTGCCTCAAATGTTGGTGTGCCCTGTATGTCTGTAGCGCTGCGCTCTGCAGGGTACAGCTCTGCTGTGTTGTGTGAAATCATCTGGTTGTGGATTCCAGCAACTTTGAAAGACAGAAAAAGATGTGTGAAAGATGGAAAATGACAAAATCAGAAGATGCAATTGGCATAAGTCTGGGTGTTCATTTTAATGCATTTAACACAAGGTTCAGAATTTATTCTTCACATACAAAATAAATACTTTTAGAGAGCAGTGCTAGCGGTCTGACAGGCGTGCTGGTAGAAGAGGTCGTTACTAAACTTTTAGTCTGATGTTTGCTAAACTGTGTAACGTGCCTGCCTTTCTGGTGTGGGGTTCTTGGCTATGTGGTGGTACAACATCCTTTGTTCCCACGCATGGTATAAAGAATGCTTTTGTAATGATGAGATTTCTGTCTGCTTTCGTCTCCATACTAGATGTGCAAGATGTCTTCAACTGTTTGTACTCAAAGCAGCTGAGAAGAACTGGAATTCAAGATGAGAACCAACAAGGTGTACAAGCTCGTCATACATAAGAAGGGTTTTGGAGGCAGTGGTCAGTATCTCCTGGCTCATAACGGTGACACCAGCACTCACAATTAACTGAGTTATTGATCTTTTTAACAAAACGGTGAAGATGGAACTTTGAGTGACAGGCAGTATCGCCAGCCACATTTTGGAGAGCTTTTTTCACAGCAAGATACAGCAGAATAAAATTGCATTTGTCAGAACAGAATGAGATTGCACCTATAAAATAAAATTGCTTTATTCTACCTCTTCCCCTTTTGTTGGGTCACTTTTGTTTTAACCTTGTATTTCAGTCACTCTTAATAAGTGACAGACAGGTCAATGGCTTGTGACTGTGTGTAGGTGTGTTTCTGTGTACTAAGAAAAAAATAATTTATTTGATTGTTCCCTACTTCTAGACTTAAAATCATAGCAGGTTAATAAAGCTTGTTAAGATTCTATAGCTATCTACTTTCCTGCTTATGCTTGTTGTATGCAAAACACAAAAGATTCTGCTTGCCTAATTAAGGCTCATTCTTTTGCTGGACAAAGCTTTTGTGAAAGTTCTGTGATTTGAACGAAAAGGGTTTGCCCAGAAGAGTGGCTGGATAGGAGCACTGTTGTGTAGCGAATATAAGGTGTTGCCGATATTAATCCTGGGCTAGTGTGTTAATGTAGAGTAAGCTGTTGCATACGAATGTGCAAGCACCTGTTTTTGGTATATATCTGCTCACTGCAGTTTTCCTCATTCGTTTATGTCTTGTAGATGATGAGCTGGTGGTGAATCCTAAAGTATTTCTTCAAATCAAGCTGGGAGATGTTGTGGAAATTGCACATCCCAATGATGAATACAGGTGAATTCTCTTTTTGCTGATGTCAGGCAGGTGTGGCTAGAGCACTGAAAGGGCATGTTCATGTGAGGTGGTTTCTAGAGTGAGGGGCTCTTAGAGCTGATGTAACTTTGCTTCAGGATGCTCTTTTTTTTTTTTTTTCCTGCCTGAAGTAAAGGGGATAACTATAGCAGGAGCTCTTCCTTGAATTTTGTGGAATTCTTTGTGTTTGGTGTTAGTTTGCTGACCTTTCATAGGGCAGGTAGTACCTGAATATAGAGTCTACAGCGTCTTTATCCTCTTCATAGAGCTGCTGTTACCTAATGATTATTCTTGCATGCTATAGTATATATAGGCAAAATTAAAACTTCCTGGTTGGCTATAAAAACATAAACCTTCTTATGTGAAGCTGTTCTTCCTGCAGCCCCTATCTGAAAAGTAGGAGTATACTTGTATGACGTTCTGAGAAGTTCCTGTGTAACTTACTTTCCCATTTAGAGTATCGTCTTTACCTAAAGAGTACTTTATAATAGGTATAAAGAACAAGACAGGGTGACAGGCAGAGAGAATGAGATATGAAGCTTTCTAGAAAATAACAATGATTCTACTCAGCTTATCCCATGCTCCATGTTACTATATGGTCTTGAGAGAGAGATTTACCAGAGTAAACCGTTTGTATCTCAACTTGTCTACTTTTTTTCTTTTTTGCATGCTAGTCCCCTGCTTCTCCAAGTGAAGTCACTTAAGGAAGATTTGCAGAAAGGTAAAACTCGACTCATAGATGCATAGTAAAATCATAGACAAAGATTGTGTGATTGGGCTGTACCTGTGATTGACGAATGCATTTATTCTGACTTTGTAAGAAAATCAATGCTTTGATTCCTAAATGCTATTTAGGAATGGAAGGATTATAATTTTATCAGAAAATGAATAGCCAATTTTATATCTGCTTTTGGTTGAGTAATGTGAGGTATGGTGTGGTTTAAAGAAAACTGGCTTTTTAGCCTTAATTTTTTGTTTCTGCATTCTGACTGGCTGTCTATCTTCTTGCAGGAATTAAGTCAGCCTAAACTTTGAGTTTTTCTCACCTACTTCGATTTTAATGACTCTTAAATTGGGCAACCCCTGAGAGAAGCTGTTGTCTTTTGCTGAGGCCCTAAGTTTTTCATGACAATCTCACTGTATTGGTTTTGTACTTGTGAACCACTTGAAACCTTTTGGGGCTGTTCACTTCTTTGTTGTCCTTTCTTCTTTTGTGGCAGAAACTATAAGTGTGGATCAGACAGTTGCACAAGTTTTCCGACTGCGGCCATACCAGGATGTCCATGTGAATGTTGTTGACCCAAAGGTGTGTGGCTTTGCAACTTTTTTCCATCTGTCCCTTCACTGAACTCAGATCAGAGCCCTGTGAATTTCCATCTACAGTAGCATTGGGAAAAAAGGCATTTATTTTTTTATTGAAAGGTATTTAGCCTTCTTTCCAAAGAAAATGAGGCTTGGGCAATTGAACTATTTGTCTGTTTGTTATGTGTCTCTCTTCTCTCCTTACCATCCCTGCTCTCCTTTTGAAGTTTATTGACGAGCTTCAACACAGCTTGATAGAAATCTAGGAATTTCAAATATCTTTAAAATTTCAGAAATTCAGGATAACCAGGTAGAGTAAAAAGAAACAATAAGTGGCCCAAAGAGGAGCCACGGCATGGATTTGCATTATTTGTCACCAGAGAGCCTTATAAGAGAGACATCTCTTGTAAGTGTCCCAGCTGTCAAAAGAGCTTCAGTCAGAGCTTATATTCAGCACAAGACAAAAGTCTGCAGGAAACGAGGCTTCCTTAATGTCATGAACAATGGAAGTAAATTGTTTTACTTCTGCTTCCAATTTGCACTGAGACTTGTAGCACAGATTTAGTCCTTGGGCTTTTTCTGGTCACATTGTGCAGTCTCGCAGCTCACAGTAGCTCCAGGTACATGCACAACTTTGGCAGTTACTCCGATGGGACTGCCCTTTTGTCTTGCATCTGTTAGGGGTATTGACTTGGTTTAGAACAGCCCTCCCTGTAACATTTGGTTCTTAACAGAACAGATTGAAGGGTGCTATTTAGGGACAACAAGTAAAACCTAAGCACTGTTTTTCTTCCGTTTCCCAGGAGGTGACCTTGGATTTGGTGGAGCTGACCTTTAAAGATCAGTATATTGGGCGCGGGGATATGTGGCGACTGAAGAAAAGTTTGGTAAGGCCTTTACTGTCTTTATGTGTAGGGTGGAGGAGATTATGTGCCTTTTTCTTTGCTTGCTGTAAAAGAATCTAAGTGTTTTACAAAATACAGAAAACTGAGGATGAGACCAGTGTCAGCAGCTTCTGAGGAACCTATGCTGTAAGTGGTACATTGGAGTTGGAGACATGGATGTAAGTGTGTTGCAGAAAAAATGAATCCCACCATTTCCTACTCCATTGAAGTAATGTTAATTACTAATGTTGAGAGGTTTTTTCTTATGTTCTGAATTTTAATGATTTACTACATTTGGAGGGAATTGAATCCAAATGTTTTTCAAGTATGCTAAAGTATCCCCTCTCCGATAGTACCACTTAATAAGCAACTATTGGAATGTTTTGGTTTTGCATCTCTGAAGTGCAGTCTTTGGCTCTTCTGAGTGTAGTGAATTAGATTAATCCAACAAAAGTTCATATGTGTTTAAAACTTTTCTGTTGTCTGTTGCAGAGGTTCTGTAGGCTGAGATAGTAGTAGTAAATATGCTCAGGGGTTTTTGTAATTTTATGGCAGAAGTCAGATGTTTGAGCATGATTTTTTTTTTTGTAAATTGATTTGCTCGCTCTGAGCCTACTGTTAACACCTGTCACGATTCTTTCTTAGGTCAGCACATGTGCATATGTCACGCAAAAAGTTGAATTTGCGGGTATCAGGTCAGTGCCTCCTTTGAGGGCTTACTGTTACTTATGGCTTTACATTAATGAGTTCAGAGTATCCAACTGGGGATTCTTCTCTGAAAAATCCTTCATGCTTTATTGTTCTCTTACTCTTCTACAGATTTCTGTCTGCACTGTGGGGTGGCAGAAGGCTTCTATTTGATTTGGGGTGGAAGAAACTAATAGTAGGACAGCCAGCCACGCTTACTGCCTCTGATGAATGCCAAATAACTACCCTTTTACCTCTTATAATATTTCCCCCCTTCCCAAGATGTACTAAGAGCTCACATGAGGGTTACTTCAGTTGCTGTTGAGGTGACAAAGGGACAAGGAAATGTGTAGATGCAGAGGGAAATGGCTGTTTGATATCTGTTGGATTAAAGATCAAGTTTTAACCAAATAAACTTCTTACTCTATCTTCAAATGATCTTTGAATACAGATTTTGGGACATCCCTTATTTGCTCAAATATTGATTCTCTAGTCTTCTGGTTAGCTAATATTCTGCACTTCTTTTCTTTCAGGGCTCAGGCAGGTGAATTGTGGGTGAAGAGTGAGAAAGTCACTTGTGGATACATCAGTGAGGACACCCGGGTAAGATTTCAGGGAGCAGGGGAAAGGAAGATTTTCCCCTTCCTTTCCTTGCCATGTTTCTTGTAATTTTCTGTCTTGCTTGCAGATTTGTATGGATCATTTGAATTGGCTGTGTTGTAAGGTGACGAATGGCAATAAATTCAGGAGAATGAATGATGAGTAGACTTAAATTCTTCTGCGCTGGCAGCACTAGGAATTCCTCAGGCTGTTGAAATGCCAACTCATTAGAGGCAGTGATGCCAGATGCCCTGTGATGCAGTAGGCACAGTCCTAGAAGTTGCTCTGTAGTTAACTTCTGCGTTTGGCCCTTTTAGTGAATGTACCTTATTTGAAATAAGATCTTTCGTTCCTTTGTAGGTGGTCTTCCGCTCCACTTCTGCCATGGTTTATATTTTTATCCAGATGAGCTGTGAAATGTGGGATTTTGATATTTATGGTATGTAGGCAACTGACCTGCCTGACTGTGAGTGTGGATGGCAGCAGCTATCCTTTCTGCCCCTACTAGAAAACTGCCACTGCTATTTGTTTCTGCCACTGCTAGGAAACTAAAATATCCTGCCTTTGGCCTAGGCAGTGCTCCAAGGTGCGCTGTGATGCCCTCTTAGATCCTTACTTGGAGCAGCACGCTTTCCTGTCTCCTGGGTGTTCTGTAATCTTCTTGTCCCTACTGTAGGGCCTGGGTACCATTATCTCAGTCATGAAATCAAGGGGGGCAACTGACTGTGGATCTTGGAAAGGTTTTCTGTGGATATAAACATGTTTGGTGATGAGGGCAGGTGCATGCCTGTGTGGATCCTGCAACCAGAAATGTATGGAAGTCCTGTGCAAAAAGGACCTTGATGTTTTAGATTTCTCTTGACTTTGTCTTAGCAAGGAAGCAAAACCCCTGCCTTAGCCCAGGTAGAGTCAGCTAGAAGTGTTAAAACTGTAGGCATTAAGAATGAGTCACTTATCTGTGTCATTGTCCTATTTTTTTTCTGGCTTAATTCTTTAGCAAACCTCTTACCACTTCCTTTGACCATGTGTTTAGGCATATGTAACCGGGCAACTATTCAAAACTGAGCAGGGGATCAGTTGTGCGTACTATGCCTAAAAGATAGTACAGATGCTTTCCCAGCATGCTGCGAATGTGTTGGAAAAATTAATTTAAAGGTCAGATCCTTTTGACAGTGAGAATCCTGTTTACATCCTCTGAAACATAGTCATGCTTTTTAATCGTTTTATCATCTTTGCTTTAGTGATATTAGTGTTCATTATGCATACAGCTGCTCTGATTCTAATAAAAATAATTGTCCTAGAATCTTAGGGTTAAATAAACCCCATAGTTGAAGTAGCTGCTGTTATTTGATGGTTTGGAGATGTTTACTTTGCAGGGGACCTGTACTTTGAGAAAGCTGTGAATGGTTTCCTTGCAGACCTCTTCACAAAATGGAAGGTAAATAGCTTATTGAGTTCATCCTGTTCTGAACGAACAAGACAATGCCATCTTAACGAGCGTGTTGATGTGCCAGTTTGAGGAAGACCCAGGTTGTGTAAGGCAGTGCTAAGATTTACAGGACTAGGAGAGGTGGCTCCTGGGCATCAAAAGAGTGGCTACTGCAGTTCTGCATTAAATCGTATATGTGCCAAGTGATCTCAGTACTGATCTGTTGTATCTGCTGTGTTTGTATCATAAAATTTGTTTGTGTGGAAGCTCTGACTGGACTAAAGTCACTAAATGCAATATGGTTGTTTGTGCTTCTGCAGTAATGCACAAGTCTGTTGTACACAATTTTATTGGTTCCAGGACTCAGTTCTGAATATTTCCCTGGTACAGTGTGTAACCTGTTTAGTGCTGCTATCTTTTAGCATGAGGGGGTTGTAGTATATGGGCCACTGATAATGTCCAAGCTTCTTGAAAGTGAGCTGCCTCAAAAACAAACAAAGCCTCACTACCTCTTATGGCTGAACAATCCAGTGCTGTCTCCTGTCTCGGTGCGTGATCTGGCTCAGAGCCAGGTACAACTGCAGTTGGCAATCCTGCAGCAGATTTCCACTGACTTGAGAGAACCGTATCAGTACTCAAAAAGAGGCATATATGAAATCTGTAACTGGAGTTGAAAGAATAGCTAGACAAGGAAAAAAGAGTGACATCCTGAATGTGTAACATCTATGTATAGTACAGTTCACGATGGTCCCAGGCGTTAAGGAGAGCAGAATCATGCCCAAAAGATTTGTCTTATTTTCATTGTGCTTTTTCTCCATTGGAGAGCTATTAGGAGCCCTGCATGACTTGTCTGTAAAATGCCTGTTTTGCTTTAAGTACTGCTGTACCATGTTGGATATGGGCCTGAGCAGTGCTGGGGCTGATGGGGCTTTTCAAGCTTTTCCTTTTGAGGGAATGGCCACTGTGCTCTTTACAGCTTAATTCCATTGCCTGCATTATCACTGTAACTGTTTAGTGCAGTTTTAATTTTTTATTTCTCTGGAATTGTTAGGGGCGTCTCTAAAAAGTAACAGATGAGAATATCATTGGCATGCGTATGTATAAACAAATTGAGTTGTCTGTCTGGGTTTTTTTTTTTTTTTACACAAAAATCTTGTATGTTGGCAGCCACAGAGAGGTTTCTTTAGACGCTAGTGGAGAGAGTTCCTGTTAAATGCGATATAACCTAGAAGCACAGAATCTATAGGGTGGACCATTACATTATTCCATAGAGGCATATGCAGCAGTGATGCAGATGTATTAATACAGCAGGCTACCTTTTTCTACTTACCTTTGATCCTAGGTGTGAGGAGAAAGAGGGTGTTACTATATGTGTATATACACAGTTTTCTACTGAATGTGACCCATAAGGTTTACTTTTTTTCATCTTTTCTTCTGGACAGGAGAAGAATTGCAGCCATGAAGTGACAGTGGTTCTATTTTCTAGAACGTTTTACGAAGCCAAATCTATAGGTATGTAAATTCTGTATTTTCATGTTTCTGTTTTTATATCTATCTCCTTTTCTCTTGAAAGTTGGTCACAGGCTGCCAGTGACTTTTTTCCTCTATTTTTTATGCCCATGTTCAAAGTATTCCCTACTAAGCACAGTGGATACGCAGCCATTCTTATGAAAGTACTGCAATGAAAACTACATAGAAGAATAGATGGCAAATTTTCCTCGTAATAGTCATGCTGTCATATTGTTTTAAAAGCAATTTTAATATTGTGTAAGAGATCTGATATTTCTCAGAGGTTTGGGGTTTTTTTTAATGGAAATAACAGCTCCTTACTAGAAAAGATTTCTATTTGAGACCATAGGACAATACCTGCTTTTTCTTCTGTTTCAGATGAGTTTCCTGAAACACATCGTGCATCGATTCGGCAGGATCACGAGGGAAGATTTTATGAAGATTTTTACAAGTATGTCTTCCTCCCAGTTTTTCACCTCTTGTCCCGCAGTGTAGATGCAGCTTGTGTGGAGAATATCATGTTGTTAACTGTAGGACCTTGCAAGGAATTAAGATAGTGAAAAACATCTATGTCAGAAACTGGCAGCAAATTGATGAGTGCATCTGTGAGTGCACACCCATATTTTCTAAGTCAGTCTTCCCCGTGCATGTGAGTATTGTGTTGTCTGTGCTCTATTGGAATTGCCAATAAACTTAAAAGTTCTGTAGCACTGGGAGGAGTTTTTGCGTGAGGCTTGGCTATTTTTCAGGTATTTACATTCTTGAGTAGCTGAAGAACAGATGGTGCCATTGCTGAAACCACAAGTGTTCCCAGTTGGATACTGAGCTCTTTGGCTGATGGTCACTACAGATGCAGCTGTCGAAGCTGTCACTTGATTCTGAACTTGGTCTTGTTAACGATCTTACTGCTTTGCAGAACAGTGATGCTATTTGACATAAAATGTTGATCACCTGTTTAGGAGCAAGATATTACTCTGGCTGGGGATGTGCCCAGCTTTGTGTGCACACCTACACCTTGGTGATTGCTACAAGTATGCAGTAGTTCTGACGTGCTGCCCAGCAGAAAGAAGAAACACTCACCTTTCTGTGCATTTCTTTTTCTATAGTTTGTTCATCCCTTCTCACTTCTTCATAGCTTCCTTTCATGATCCTCATTAAGTTGTGCTCTTTCTAGAGTTGTAGTTCAGAATGAGAGACGAGAAGAGTGGACCTCGTTGCTTGTGACCATTAAAAAGCTTTTCATCCAGTATCCTGTGTTGGTACGACTAGAGCAAGCAGGTACAAGAATCCTCCTTTCCCATGCTTTTACCCTTTTTTCTCTCTTTTTTTTCCTTTGTTCTTTTTCTTTTATTTTAAGTTGTCTGTAAACTCTCTAGTTTCAGCTGGAGTCTGGTATTATCCTACTTAGTGCTCTCCTGGCTAGGCTATTTTGCTTGGGTCTTTCTGTGAGATATACCAATAACAATTTTGCCTGTAATTTGTTGGAGCGATAGGATTTACTACAAATGCAGTTTTATTTTGGCTGTTGGTGGTTGGTTTTTTTTTAAAGCTAGTCTATGGAGAAATAAAATGTTTTTTCTTTTTCTTCCTTCTGAACACTTGCCCAGAGGGCTTTCCTCCAGGTTCCAATTCTACCTCAGCACAAGGGAACTACCTGGAGGCCATAAATCTTTCATTCAATGGTAAGTTATGAACAATGGATAAAAATATACAGTGGAGGAACCATTAAAGCAGCTGCCAATAAATGAATGTGGCCTTCTGTTGCCTGTTCCTTAACATTGTGAAGAGGAGGGGAATATTAGGTGGTTAAGTGATCATTTTCAGGCTCAGAAGAAATTTTCTTATGTGTGTCTCTGGAAAGCCAGTGGCTCTCAAATAACTGAGTATTGGGTATTTCAGGCTTCAGGAACCATTTATAAGGCCTTGTTAGGGTGAAACTTTTTCTTCTAGCTTTGTACCTTGGAATAGAAGTTGAAATTTTTAAATTTTGGAAGCATTTCAAAAGTGATTTAGGTGAAGCTGATCCATCTTTTTTTAGCAGGGAGATGGATTTGATGGGCTGGAAAGGCTCTCCAAAGATCTGCTTTTTGTGATTCTGTACATCAGATGTCGTTCTGTCACCTTAATGGCTGTTTTGTTACTCCCATGCGAGGGAGCACAGGGTGTTATTTAAAATTATTAGTAATGGACTTCACCTTGTTAGGGTTTTTCTGGGTTGGTTTGTTGGTTTGTTTTTTTTAATGAGATGTTATAGAGGAAACACTAAGCATATGAGAAAAAAAATTCCTTTTTATGTATCTGGTTCCCACCTTCTCTTCTGCCCTAACTCCTCTATCTCCTGTAGCTTTATTTACACCCTTGTCCAACAACAGATGTTTATAAGCCCTCTCACGCTTGCGTGTGCTTTGTGGAAACTTAATACAACTGTTAATAGAGAGTCACCTCCCTTGCTCTGAAAAAAAAAAAAAAAAAAGCCCATCCAGCATCTTCTTTCTTTTCAAGTATTCTCTAATCCTTTCTCTTAGTGTTTGACAAGCATTACATAAACCGGAACTTTGATCGGACTGGCCAGATGTCTGTGGTTATCACACCAGGTGTGGGTGTATTTGAAGTCGATCGACTCCTTATGATTCTAACCAAACAGCGGATGATAGACAATGGTAAATAACTAACAATACTGTGCAATCTTTATGAAGGAAAACATATATTTGAAAACGCTCTAGCCTTTTCTTGCTATGAAAAAATATCTATTGTAACTTGTGTACTCTGGAAAGAGGGGTTACAGCTGGAAGACTTGTGTCCATACTTCATATTGAAATGGGCAGATTTTCAGAGAACTTACAGGCATTTAATTTCTTTTGTTTGTGATAGAGAACTTCGCCTGTCCATCCAGACCTTTCCCTTAAAGGATAATCTTGCATGACTTGCATTAGTTTAGAAGAAACATTTCCTATATCCCCAGTGGTACTGTTGTTTTGTTACATATCATGGGACTGTTAACTACAGTTTTCAGTATAATTACGTCTTAAAATCTGATATGAATAAAAATTGGGCCTTCAGCTCGAAGTGATGGTCTGTTTTGGCTTAGCATATCAGTCCTGATGGGTGGATAGCTGAACTCTACTCTTTTGTTTACAGGGATAGGTGTAGACTTGGTATGCATGGGAGAACAACCATTGCATGCTGTACCACTCTTTAAGGTAATGCATGCTTCTTTTCCCTTCTCTCTGCCCATACTAGAAATGTTTACTCATTCTGTGACTAGCTAGACACAACTAGTTGCTATGATTCTGAATTGCAGCTCCATAACCGCTGTGGACCTGGTGACTCCAGACTGGGTGATGACTACAATATTCCGCACTGGATAAACCACAGGTAGGTCAACTCTTATCAGCCTTTGCTAAACAGTTCTGCTTTTCTTTCCTCTTTATAATCTGTTGAATTCCCTTTCTCCTTTCATTGCTTATTTCCTTTGCTCTCCTTGTGAAGCAAAGACATATACTATAATAGTCCCACAGCACTCATGGCATTAGTGCAACATATCAGAGATGATAGGCAATTTGCAGAGGAAAAGGTTTTGATCTTAAGCTCTTCTTCCAGCTACCTTAGTTCTAGCCTTTAGCTATGCTCAAAGGAAGTCACAAAGCTAAATAAAAAATACAATCACTTCAGCTAGATTGGTTATTAGTCCAAACAGATACATCCCAAGTGAATAGTTACGGGTAGAGAAAATGTAGAGAACATGGATAAATGTTGGAACAGTTGCAGGGAACACTAAGGGCTCAGTGTTCCGTTGCTTCACTCCAGGGCGTGGTAGGCTTCCTTTCTGCTTTCTGTTAAACCTTCTGTGCCATAGTACTCTCTTGTTTTCCTACACATAGAGATCAGGGCTCAGGATGAAAACTATTTTCTCAGTCCTTGTTCTGCTGTGGAGTTTTCTTTTTTTTTTTTCCCCCTCTCTCTTAATACCTCATTTTATCTGCATGCATGAATTGACTGTTCTGACCATTCACTATTCATCTCTCTCTTAATACCTCATTTTATCTGCATGCATTAATTGACTGTTCTGACCATTCACGGGTTGCTTATACCTAGTATTTTCAAGTGGCTGGAAGGTGTCTGATCTTTGCTGTAGATGAAAAAGATGTTTGAAGGCTTATAATAAGGCAGGATTTAAAAGATTCAGGCAACAAGAAACAGATTTTAATGAATAAATTATTTCAAATGGGAGGAGGTCTGTAGTTTTCAAGCAGTTGTTGTGAGTCATTAGTGTCATGTAAATTAGGGAGAGAGTGGTGTGAACTGCACAGCACTGTGTAGACAGTGAAAGTGGATACCTTTCTGTAGAAAGAGGAAGTGAACTTCAGAATGCAGATGTAAGCAGAATTCTAGACTGAGGCAGTATGGGGATCAAAGGCTGGTCTTTAAGGAAAGGGTAGCTTCTCTCAAATTAACCATCTGTCAGTGTTTTCCATATGTTGTCTTATGCAGAGAAACGTATCCCGTTTTCTCCATCTAACAGCTAGCACAAATTCATGGGCTGTTTGCTGTGTAGCTAACCAACTATGTTCAGTTCTTAGACAGCTGAGCCACCCTGTTTTTCCTTTCAGTTTCTACACATCCAAAAGCCAGCTCCTGTGTAACAGCTTCACTCCACGGATCAAGCTGGCAGGAAGGAAAGTAGGTATCTTTCTGATTTATCTTTTCTTCTTACTAGCTTGTCAGATAACCTTTTCTCAGAGAAGCATCAGAATCTTTCTAGCAGGTATTCCAACAGCTGTAACTAAGTTTCTGTGTTAAAATACAGTGAAGGCAAAGCTGTAATGATTGTTGGCAGGGATTGTGAATGAGGGACTAGTTTCTAGGTCTTTACTTTCTAGGATGAAACTAGGTGAGAAATGTTTTGGCCACCATAAAAATTAGTTTCATTCTGTAACAAAGAACTCCATGGAGAGGAAGAAAGGTGTTGACAAAGATGTGTTTTTTATACAGGTTTGTAACCAAGCATCAGTATTTAATACTTCCAAAGTGGTTTGGCTGCCTCACTGAGTCAGCAGGATAAACTTTAAATCTGATGCTTGATGACACTGGGGGATACTGCCTTAGAACATGCTGACTGTTTCCCTTCTCTGTCTCTTCTCTTGCTCTTTCTTTTTTTCTTTTTTTGTTTTTTTGGTCACTTCATACCTCCTTTGTTGGACCCTCCAGCCGCTGACTGAGAAAGCAAAAAATAACAGAGATGCTTGTGAGTAATTCTGGTCTGGACTGATCTATCCCACTGACTCCCAAACTAAGAAGCAGCTGTAGTAAGACAATGACACTTCAGCAAAAACACTACTGATGAGATGCGGGAAGGGACAGTTGTTGCGGAAAACCATCAAAACCACGTAGTTGTTTTCCAGGATGTTAATGTGCCTATATCAATTGCTTTCTTGGTAGATAACTAGTATGGAGGGGTGAGTTTCTGTCCTGGCTACTTGTCACCTGGCTAGAGGAATAGATGGTGTCAGGCTGGTGTACTAGTGGTACTATTTGTGGGAGTAGGATGGGAGGGCATTCACTGGCTTGGGATGTTGTCAGTGCTATGACCACAGAACAACAGTGGGAGAAGCCTGCATTCTTCTAATGCCACCTTGTTTCAAGAAGGTGTACATTCTAAAAGTGAGGCTGTCCATTCTTCTAAAGATGCTTTAAAATGTGCAGTTCCCTTGTGAGGGGACTTGAGGCATCTGTTCATACAAGGATTGATTTGTTGATTGTTAATTTAATGTCTTGGATACATGGGGGAAAGATATTGGGGCATCAGCAACCCTGATTCAGAGGCACCAACTTTGATAATAGTTGCTCCAGCTAATCTGCTCATGAGACTTTTGTATGTGATTTCTTTTGGAATAGATACTTCCCTTAGTGATGATAGTTGGATACCTCTAACTTGCAGATCTTGAACATTCTTGAAAGAGGTTCCAGTGCTGTATGATTTTTATTTCAGCATTAGGGGCTCCAAAAGATGCTGAGAATGCCCTGCCTATCCAGGTAGACTATGATGGTTATGATGCCCAGGTGTTCAGACTGCCAGGCCCATCCAGAGCCCAGCGCTGTACCACTTTCAGGTAAGAGGCTTGCAAGTGTACTAGTTCTAGAGTAGCCATGTTATAGTGTATATCTTGGTGCATAAAATGCTTTGAGAAATGTAAGGACAATTAAGCTCCACCTGCTTACAATTATACAAAAAGCTTTATTTGTTGCTAGTATTTGTGGCTGGTTGTCTGGTATTTTATTTCTAAGACTGTGTGGGCTCTAGGAAAAGGCATAAATATACTTTTTCCTTACATTTTTAATTTTATCTGAAGTAGAATGAAGCTACTCTCCCTTGCTGAGTTCCTAGCTGGGAAGTTGCACAATATACTTGCACAGAGTTGTAGAAATAGCATGAATTTGATGCACTGTGTAGTAACTGGTCCTGAACGTAGAGTGGTGGGGGATCTTCCCTGAAAATAATGCCTTTCTGAATGAGAGAAGACACAGAGAAGCTGAGTGCAGGTTCTCAAATATTCCATGGCCTTTCCTCTGAGAAGAAAGGCTAATTATCCTCAGGTCCTGGCCGAAGTCATTGAACAACCTATAAATTTTAGTGCTTTTTCAGGAATATAGAATTGATGAACTTGTTTTGAAGTATTTTTTTTTTTGCTTTCCTTCTTTCAGTAGTATTGCCTAAATCTGATAAAGCTGTGCTTGCGGACTCGCTTGTTAATATGAGCAGCTTATAGAAATCCATGCTGGAAGATGCCAGTACAGTTTAATGTAGTTAATAATTCCAAGTAGTCTCCCTATAGCTATGAGTTCCTAGCACTGTAGGCTCAGGTATAGGATTTTTTAGACTATATCTATACACCAGCTTGGTGTGGTGTCTGTAGAATTGCCTAAAGAGTCGAGCATGCCCCTTTCACAGCTGATGTGCTGGAAGCATTTTAGTGTTCTGTTCTTCCATTATATGATGCACAAAAGTATGTAGTACCCACACAGTCAGAAAAACAGTGATAGCTTCCTTGTAGTTCACTTCTTGAGCTCACCTATTGAGTCTCTTACATGACTTGGGCCTGTTCAAGCCCCTTGATAACCCAGGAATTAATCTTTTTCATATCACTGGACATATCTGTTTGTTTTCAGCAGGTCTGTGAGGGAGAGAGAAAGTCGTACCAGAAAGAGCTCTAGTTCCTATGACGTCTCATGCAGCCCTTCTCTGCAGAGCCGCACGCTGCCGCCAGAGGAGGTGAGGAGCCAGGCTTCTGATGACAGCTCACTGGGCAAGATCTCCAACATCCTAATGATCCCACGGCCTCATCTGCACCAGTGTGAAGTCAGCAGCTCTTTGGGCTACACCAGCACCAGAGGTCAGCCAAAGGCAGATGGGAAAGTACCTTAGGTGTTGAGAGGGGAGAGAGAATATTGAAGTTTGTATTGGCCACTGCCAGGCCAGCACAGGGGAGATGGTGCTTCTATTAGCATTTGTGGTACACCTTTTCCATGGCTCCAGCTGCGGCTGGGTGTGCATTCTGCCTTTGTTATCCTTGTGCAATTCCATTGCTTTTTAATTGGCTTGTCCTAAATAGAAGTGTCCTGACACTGATTTGCTCTTTTCCCTTGTCTATTGCCGTCTTTAATATTTGACTATTCTCCTGTGCCTGCCTGCAAATGTAGACATATACAAGTAACTTTTTATTATTCAGGTCACCTATAATCTGACAAATGAGAATTGGCCTTAGTAGTGAGCTCTGGGGGACCCTGCTTATAACTCCTCTCTCTGGGGATTTGTTGTCATTAAGAGTCACTTTCTGGATCCTTCCTTTTGACAACGTACTGCTGAGCTATCTTGATGTGTTAGCAGTGCTGACAGTCTCCTTTTTTGCCTTCCAATTTAATTTTGTTCTCGGACAGTATGCAGTATCTTCCACAAACCCAATTAATTTCTAGGTAAATTGTATTCTTCCTCAATTGCTCAGTCTTCTGTAAAACTCTATCCCTGAAGGCTCTTTATGTTTTGGTTTTTTTTTCATGTCATACTGTATGACACCTGATACCATATTTGTCCTGTTACAGGAACTGGATTTACTGGTGTGGAACTGCTGTCATGCAGTGTACTTCACATTACATTTACCTTTCATGTTTTCCCCTGCTGTCAGTTAATATACACTTTTTTTTTGGTATTTCTGTTACTCCTTTAGTTTGAAGGATAGTCTTGTGACCTAGCTGAAGGTGTGCAACTGGATGGGGATGTGTGTGGAATAGGACTGGTGGGGAGGGAAGAGTCAGAGTAATTGAGATATTTTTTTTTACGTGGTCTAGTTGGCAGTACAGAGTGGTAAAAGAGACCCTTCCTTCTCTTTAGGATTTCCATTTGTTGATGATCAGAGTAATTACTACTTAGTAATCTAGTTTATTTCTCTCTCCTGTTTCTAAATAACTGCACTTCTGCTCTACGTTGAATAGTAATGACTCCTAGCTTGCTGAGATCATGACCCATGTCTTCCTGAAGTAATCCCTTGTTTCAGTGGTCAACTCTGAATGTTACAAAAAAGGCTTACGTTGCTCGGTTGTAGCTTCTGCTATGTCTTTGGTACTCATCCTGAAGTTTCTGGTGTGTTAGTCTCTTGAGTTTTCAAAGCTCTGAGTAATTCTTCATAGTTGACTTAGCAAGTGGTTTCTTTATGACTTCATTTAATATAAAGTGTCAACAGCATACAGCAATACTGTAATGGCAGATGAAATAATATTCTTTCTTATCTGGATTTGTGGTTACATTGTAACTTACAGACTGGATTGAAATTGCTTTCAGCTTCTCTCCCTGCCTACTCCTCAGCTCTCCTTATTCCCACTTACCCTGGGGAATATTTATATCCCTAAGCAATTCAATCTCTTTTGCTTGGCTTCTGCGTGAGCTCACGCTGACTTTAAGTTGTGTTTTCTAGATGTCCTTGAGAACATGCTGGAGTCTCAGCAGCGTGACTCCAGTGCTCCTGGGAGGTTCCACGTTGGCAGTGCAGAATCCATGCTGCACATTCGGCCGGGGGGATATACACCCCAGCGAGCACTGATAAACCCGTTTGCCCCATCCCGCATGCCCATGAAACTTACATCTAACAGGAGGCGCTGGATGCACACTTTCCCTGTGGGTAAGTCTGTTTCGTAGTATATTAGATTGCTGTTACTTTTTCCTTGTCCAAGCATTAACACAATAAGAGAACCAATGTGAACTCTGGTGTTTTGAGGTACTCTGCACTGTAACAGGGGCTGAACTAAGTGTATAGGCTTGATAAATCAGAGATCCTCTTCTTGAAAATATTACCATCTATTGGCAAACTTGCTGTATCAGGTGCTGTGGAACAATCTATAGTAAATGGAAGCTGTTGAAGTGAATCATAACTATAATTTGGGTTGACTTTCAGATGCAGAATTGTTCTCAATTTGTTTAGCGCCTTGTAAGTAGGCCCTCTAAAATGTTTCAAAGAATATTCTGCTTCACTGGCTTCAGAGAAGATGTCAGAGGTTTCATGTCTTTTAAGATTTTGTAAACATGCTTTCTTAATTTCCATTAGTTAACATTGCTTGTGTTACTGACAAAAGGAGGGTACAAGCAACTGAGGAATCGATGCAGATGTGGTGATTAAAGATCAAACTGTAACTGTGTAGGTCCATCAGGAGAAGCTATCCAGATCCATCACCAAACCCGTCAGAATATGGCAGAAATGCAGGGCAACGGGCAGCAGGATTTGACACATTCCTCTGCTGAGCTGCTGGAGCTGGCTTACCATGAGGCAACTGGCAGGTGAGGTCCTTAGGATGAATCTCTGTAGGCTTTGCATGAACATCCCTTTTCCTCAAAATTTTATGTGTGTTACAGTAAGGCAGTTATAGGTTGTGATGTTTAAGTTTAATATGTTGCGTCAGTGCCACATATGCAAGATATAGTTTTATTCTGAGATAAAAAGCACTTTTGGCAAGGCCGGAGATGGCTTACCTCCCCTAATCTGGGGAAGGTGGTAGTTTATCACAGAGAGTTTGCAGTGCACAAGCAATACAGTGCATCATTTCATGGAATTGTTCAAAATTGCCTCATAGAAGCCTGTTTTTAATTCTTGACTTACTATCCCAAGAGCTGTGACCTGCATCCCAGAAGAGAACATTTTTTAGCACAGGGCCTAGCTTTGTCTCACAGTAACTGTTGAGCAATTTCAGTGCTATTTATTCAGTCCTGTCTTCCCCATGTAAGAAATACAGCCATCATAAAACGTCAGGGATGGATTGCAAATGAAAGTACCTGTGTTCATAAACTAGCTTTCTTTTAAAAAATAAGCTTTGGTCAGCATCAGGAGCTTATATTAACTGTTGGCTCTGAGAAGTGAAAAAGATCCCAGTGTTACTGGATGCGGCATGGTTGTGGGAGGCTGTTTTTACAGTGGGAGAAATTAGATCGTTCACTTCACCTAGGCCATTTTTCAAGCTGCACAGTTGTTCTCCAATCTCCAGATATTGTCTTACCTGTTTTTTATCTGATTATTTTTTTTATTGACAACATGTTTTTCATGGTTTTTTTTAACATTTCATTATTAAATGTTGTTTACCAAACCCATTTTGGTAGCTTAGGCAACTTTAGAATTGCTAATAAGTTTGTTTTTTTCATTATTAACTTTGGTATCTTTCCTGCTATGTGTTTCTTTTCTCTTGCATGCTTATAGAAATTTGTGTTACATGCTGTTTCTGGTTGTCCAGGGTGAGTGAGGACATTGCTGGTATCCTCTGCCTTTTTCATCTTCAGGGCTCTCTTTCCTGCTGTTTTCAAGCAGTCCTTCAGGAAATTGCACTACCTAATTAGTCTTCCATGCTTTTTTTTTTCCCCCCCTTCTTATAGGGAAATCTATGTCCTATCTTATAGTTTGTACTGTCCTTTAGAATACTCTAATCTTTTTCTGTGTTGCATAATTTTGATAGGACATCCTCATCAACTTTGTTCCCTAGTTCTGCTTAAAAAAAAAAAAATTGCCTTTTTATTACTTCATAAGTACATCCTAGTATGCTAAAGTATCTTGTCATTAACACTAGTCTCGTGTCATATTCCTGACAATTCTTTTTCTTGATCTCTTTGTTGTCTCTGTGATTGATGTACTCGTCCAAAGCCATTTGCTCAGCCTGGAATATTGTTTTTATAGACCATGAAATCAGGTCTGTAAATAACTAGCTAAGTTTTATTTCTCTCCTGGGAGGTATAGGAGTAGCTGGTTCTCCAATGTCCTGCAAAGATAGCACATTGGTTATTGCTGGACGCAAAGAACAAACAGTATGGACAGATACAGAATATTGTTACAGCATTCTCAGTGCTGCATTTGTGCCTGTTACTATCTCTGCAGACATCATTAAGAGCATGGCTTCACCACAGGCTTAGCTGAGACAGCAGGCTGATTACTTGTTATATCAGCTCTTGTTAAAAGCAAGAAATGGCATGAGTGAGGAAAGTTGGTATAACACTGGCTGTTTTGGTTTTCTCCAGACATGTCAGCTCTCGGCATCCAGGTGACAGTGCCTCTTTCCTGAACTTCAGCGGAACAGAAGAGTACTCTAATGGTCTGGCTGGCAGCAATGGTGCAGGTAACAAAGCAATGATAGAGCGTGGAGTTGGGAGAGAAGGCCCACCCTTATTAGCAGTGACAAAGTAATAGAGCCACAAGTCATGGAAGGTGGGTGGACTAGGCATTACAAAGTAGAAAGAGTCAATAATGGAAAAACAGTTTTCGACTTTGAGTGATCTGTTAATGCTTTTACTTGGACTTTTTGGTGTGTGGTAGGTTTTTTTGGTTGGTTTATTGTTTGGGGTATTTTTGTTCTTGTTCAATGTGTCTCTACTTCTCTAGGTATGTCATAAACTTTAGTATAGAAAGATGTTCATGGTTTACATATGATAAGCTCCCAGGCAGTTGCTTAGTTCCATAATAACAAAGCACCGATGTCCAGACACAAGAAATAACTAAATATGCACTGGTATTGTTCAGAATGTCTTTTCCTGGGTGGAATTGCCTTAAGGTGTCACCCTCTGGATTAAGAAACTCGTTTGATTATATATATTTTACATATACAAGCTGATGGAAAGAATAAAGTCTGGTTGTGTCTAGATTTTGAGAGAAGCTGTAAAAAAGCAGGTTTATTTTGCGGTAAGTTCTGGGATTCAGTGTTTTCTAGCGTTGTCATTATCTACAAATGCACTGTCTCCAGATTTTAAGCACTTTGAACATGGTGCTGCTTATACTAAATGTTATACACAGAACCCAAAATATTTCATGACATTTTTGAGAGAAGACACGTGTCTGTACTTTCAGCTGAAGATTAGCATTGTCTTTCTCACCTTACCCAGACACCTGAATCAGTGGAAATTCTCAACATTTCTTTTGAATCCTGTAAGTGGGACCACATGCTATGCTAAGCATTCTGTTGTGTTGTCTGTTTTTTTGCAACCTACCTTCTGATTTTATGGATGTGCTTTTTAGATAGGCACATGGAAAAAAAATTGATCTTTTGGTCTATAGCATTCAAGACTTCTTTTTTCAAAACCAATTTAAAGACTATTTTTTAAAAAAATTCCCCCTTCAGAACTGCATTTTGATGAAAACAATTATGTTTTCCCCCATGCTCATACCTTGAAGAGCCATAAAGAAGTTAGCAGACTTAATTTTCTTGTGTCTCTCTTGTCTTGTGTTCATGTAGTCGCATTAAAAGTGATTTTGTTCTGCTGTTTCCTTTTATGTATTCATCTGAATACGTTTCATTTTCTTGCTTTAGTACTTTTTTCCTGCCTTCCAGATAGACTTTGTTTTCACAATTGCTAAACTGCATTTCAGCTGCTGGATACAATTTGCACAACGTAGATGCAGAGCATATCCTGGCAATAAACATGCTTGTGTTTTATAGAAGTCTTTTGTGTCTATAGATGGGATATAAATCATGTATGTGGTGGAAGTTAATCTGTGTCTGCCTTTGTGAAAGTTGTTATGAGCACCTTCCCTGACTAAACACCCTCAGCCATCTGTAGCTGCCACACGGTGACTCAGTGATTTGACTTATGTTTCTCCCTTATGGTTTGAGTCACCTATGAAATGAAACTGTTCTTTTTTTTTTTTTTTTTTTTTATTTCCAAAAATATGATTTGTCAGTGAGTCTGGTTCTCCTCTGCTGCCCACAGCGTGTTTTGTTGCAACATGGGCTTCACAGTGAAGAATCACTCCATCTATTTACACCGGCATTCAGTAAATTGTCTCTATTGTCCGGCAGATGGTAGATGATGGTTCAGAGCAAATAAATCTTGTTGCAATTCCCTAACTAGATGGCAGATGGCATCAGCGGAGTTGGTGAAAGATGAATGCCAATTTAAGCCAGCTCCTCTACTGTTTTACTGGCATCGTCATGCAAGCAGATAACCATCCTTTCTGTTAGTAAATGCTATTTAGAGCAGCAGTTATGATGTTGATATCAATTTCCTGAATAAATCTACATAAACTAGTTTTATAAAAATGACTCCTTTTAAATGTTTGGAGGCTTCCTGAAATATGTATTTTGATAAATGCCTTTTAAGCCAGCAATTTTTCTTGTCTCCTTAGCTGCTCATTTCTTCTCATGTGCCATAATACATGGTGAAGCAGCAGCTCAGGGGATTGATCCAAATGAAGAGTAACTGGGGTTTTTCTCTGCTGTGTGGATTGTTTCACTGTAACTACACAAATGTTGCTGCAAATACAGTAGACAGATGTGAAATGGGAACTAGGAAGAGCTGGTCAAGGGGTACCATAGCATCATGTTGGCTTAGTGTTCACTGAGCTGTAGTTTTAGTATCTATTTTCCAGGTTAATAGGCTGCTTAGAACTAATCCATTTGACAGTGAAAAAAATTAGGTCTTAAGTCCTAATCAAAACTTAAATATAAATTTTCATTAGTCTTAAGTCCCTTATTAGTCTTTATTTAGGTTATTATAAACTGAATTTTGCTCAAAAACTGAGCATCTCTTCAATAGCTATCATTTAATCTCCTTTCATAATGAATAAAAACTTCCTTACTGTTTGTTCTTAGTGACGTATGGACCAAGGTATACTTTACAGGTTGGAACATAATGGAAATTGCTGTCTTGTCAGAACATGGTCATTTTAAACAGTCTGTAATTAATATATTGGACCTATTTAGGGGCACTGAAGGCTTAGTTATTACTTTTCAAATTTTTAGCCTGGTAAGGGATACAAAGGTAGTTTGTGTTTGCTGAATCAAGATCAACTGTTTGTTTTGTTTCCTCCCCACCCCCTGGCAGAGGTGAAATGTGTGCTGGTAGTTTATGCCTAAAAATGTGGGAATTGGAGTAAATCTGTATCATGATTTTCATAAATTACTTAGACTCTTCAGAGTCTTAGATAATTAGAATGTTATATATGGATTCTCCTCTCCCACCAGGTGAAAGTCTGTTATAATTTACTTTCTTGCTGCTCCTGTGTTTTATCAAATTCTTCCTCTTAACTTATCCCTTGTTCATAAAACAGGAAAACCAGTAAAAAAGATTCTGGTTTTGTGTACTGAATGTATTTAAAAGTACTTAGCTGCAAGCTAGATGATTACAGGTGACTTTATTTTTTTGTTATTTGCTTTTTATGGCATCTACTTTTCAAGATGTGTTTTGCCATTTTGCGGAGGTTGTTTTTGCTTGTCTTTTAACTACTGAACACTTCTAATGAGATGTTCAAATTTCATCCAAGGTGTCTTTTTCCTCATTAGTTGCCTTTGTGTATTTTTTTTTGCTGTGCAGAACCCTGAGTTCTTTCCAAGGAGAGAAATGCCATATTCTTAAAATATTTGCATGCTTTTGATTTATTTTTATTTGAAATTAAAGTGAAGTGCATAATTGCTTAAAACAAAATACATATTTCTTTCTTGTAGGAATGAACCTCAAAGCTCAGAACAAGGATTCCTTAGAAGATGCTGTCTCTAACTCTCCAGATCCAAGTAAGCAGGAGGAAGGTTTGGAAAAGAGTTTGCATAGGGGGGAAGATAGGGAGGGAAAGGGAATGTACATACATAGGGGCGTCAGGAGGTGGTAGGCAAGAAACTGAGGAGCCTGCTTGGCATTTGGCAGTAGTTTATATTTTGCCCTGCAGTAATTTGCAGGATCTCCTTGTACTGTGTGTCTCACTATGATTGCAGTTCTGTATCTCTTAAGAATATGTGAAACTGGTGGTTGTATTACATCTGAAATTCTTTCCTTACCAGACACTATTATGCAAAAAGCTAAAGCTGTTGGACTCTTATCTGCCTCTCAGTATGAAAAGTTTGCTTGGCACCACTGAATTGAAGCAGTGGTTGTACAGTCAATTTCTGAATTTGGTACCATTTACTGGGAAATATCTGTCTTCATCTAATACAGAATCAAGTGTATCACTGCTTAAGAAAACATTTTCTTTAGAGCAGCCTGTCCTGCATTACTTTCTTGTGCGGTGTTCCTGCCATTAATATTAACATTTTTACAGTAAAATAACTTTCTCTATGTAAGATCTCTATGAGAAGAAGTTAAGAATTAGTAGTTGGCCAAGTGCCTTGATACAGATCATTTGAGGCAAGTTAGGATGTAGTACAGTAGTGAATGATGATTTGATATAATTGAGTTAACTTTTGCTTTTTAATGTCTAGTTTTAGATCTCTGTAATCTCAGAACTGTGACATAACTCTAGGAAGGGTGTGGGGAAGGATTGCTTTCCAAGTTACTACTTTTCTGGTCTTCCCACCCCTCTGGATCTGTCCTTCTGTTTTTATAACTGTAGAAATACTCCCTTTGCTGCTGTTGTACTATTCCAGAAAGAGGCTGGTCTGTCATTCTTTCTCTCCTTATCCCCAGCTCCTTCTGCAGTTGTCTAGGATGCAAAGCTGGTCTGATTTTTTTTTGTTCAGACTTGGAATGTTGATCTGTTTTGTTAATCATGAGTAACTGCATCTGACTTGCTGTAATTTTGGAAGAGCTCTAGCTTTCAATCAACAAAAAATTAAATGTGTTAACTTTGAATGCCATTTGCATGATGGGATGGAATTAGCATGTGCACTGCATTGTTTAACAAACTCTGTCTCTTTCTCTCCCTCCCTTCTTCCCGTCCTGCTTTCCTTTTCCCTTCCCATTCCATCCCCTTTTTGTCCCTGTTGACTTTATGCCAACTCTGTTTTTGTCCCTCATTCTTTCTAACTTTCCTCTTCACATGTTTCTTTCATCTTCCTCTGCACCCTATTTTTTCATGGGTGACCATATATGCCCCCATTGTCTGCCCCCCAATGATACAACGAGGCAGTTCTGACGCTGTCTGCTCCCCCCGTAGTGCCAGGCTTCTGTTGTACAGTTGGAGTGGACTGGAAATCCCTCACTACTCCGGCATGTCTCCCTCTTACCACGGACTACTTCCCTGACCGTCAGAGTCTGCAGAATGATTACACTGAGGGTTGCTATGATCTCCTCCCAGAAGCTGACATTGACAGGTTTGGCCAGCACCTTCTCTGTAAAGTAACTTGCGTTGAATCAAAGTGTTTAAGGCGCAGTTGGTGGAAGAGGAACACTTTGAAGACTGTAAAAGAGAAAGATAAATTGCCAGCATAGTTAGCAGCAGAATACTTAGGTTTTTTTCTTTTCAGTGGTAACTTTGCACCTTTTCTGATGTTACCATCTGACAGTGTTGTGTTCTGTAGATTTTGTTATAAATTTTGTGAACAAAATTTTACATTTCCTCTGTTGTGCTTCAATCAAAAAAATCAACTTCAAGCCATCAGCTTTGTTAATCTATTTTCTAGCAAGTATTTTGGAAACACTAAGGGAGCAAATCCATGTGTATGCACAGTGTTTAACATGCTTATCCTCATTTTCAGGGATGTTTAGTTTAAAGAATCTTGCTGGAAAATAGTGTTAATGGGATAAATAGAACTTCTCAGCTTATCTTGGAGGTCTCTGGTAACTGTTCTTTCATAAGGTTGGTTTGGGTTTTTTCTGAAGCTGTCTCATCTTCTTAAACATTTTTCAAACTTTCCACAACTTTCAAGACATCAGAAAGACCTGTTCATGTTGCTGCTTTATGGGAACAAACCCAAAATATTAGTCAGGGTGATTGAAATACGCAGGAAATAGCAGGATTAATGAAGAAACACCTAAAAGAAATGTCAAATGTGCCTTTATAGCAGGAAGGCAAAGTTCAGAGCAGAAGTAGTTGTAATAAGATGCCATAGTGATATGTCTTTTAATCTCTCTCTGCTCTAGACTTCCTGCTGTGGGAGAGGGTGGAGCACTGCCTGCACACTTGCAGTCCTGAGCTCTGCTGAACACTTGCAGACTGCATTGAGATTCTCTGCAAAATGCTGTAAAAGTGATCATTAATGAATTTTTTAAAGTTTAACAGCTGTTGTAAGCAAATTTGTTACTGGTTGCAAAACTGCTTTCAAAGGCATTAATAAGTATTGCCAGACAGCTCATCATCAGCTGTTTAAAATAGAAAGATACCTGTTTTTCTCTCCCATTCCTGCAGGTTGGTTTTCACAGGCAGAGGGCTCCACTTGCGCAGAGCCCAGTACAGGCATAAATCCTTAATTAGGAAATGCAGAGCTAAGAATAGGTGTGTGGTCAACTTCCTTATTCTAGTCTTCTTAACCTTTGTGTTCAGGAGAGATGAGGAAGGAGTGCAGATGACAGCCCAACAGGTGTTTGAGGAGTTTATTTGTCAGCGTCTCATGCAAGGTTATCAAATTATTGTGCAATCCAAACCACAGAAACCAGCCACAACTGTGCCACCGCCGCTCAGCAGCAGTCCTCTTTACAGTCGAGGTGAGTGACTTTGTACTGACAGTTCAGTCTTCTCTCTTCCTCTCATTCTGCCAATCCCAGTAACCTCTATGAATCAGGCACAGACGTTAATTGAAGCACTCTGTTCTTTTTTTCTTTTATTTTTTTGTTGTTATATGAAAATCTTTGCTGGGAGAGCGCCTGATCTGGGGCAGCCCAAACAATTCAGCTGCACCATGAAGGGACAAGTGCAGGATCTTTGAACTGTAGTAAGAAACTGGGCTTATATTCATGATGGTGAACCCAAGTGAAATATGGCTTGAGTGCCATTTGGGTGAATAAATCTTGAACACAAATCACATGATGACTGCAGGGCAGGCGCTTCTCTAGAAGAAGACAGACGCAAAGCTCCCAAATGTACATAACTAGAAGCAGTTTCCTAACTCTAAAATAGTTGTGAAGGTCCCAGGTAGGCAAGTAAAGCTTCATTTTCCTGAAGCCATGAAATCAGCTAAACGTAGTTAAACCCCAGAGGACTGGAGTGGGTTAAAAGGGTATCATATATTCCTTTGACAGAATCTGACTTACTATTTGACTTCTGACTTTTTTTCTGGATATTCTCTAGACAAATCAGCGTGGTACAGTGTTATATAGAGACAGGAATACATGTGAATAGGATATGGTAGTTATATATATGGTAGGTCTGGGAATGAGCAGCAAGGCTCCTTTGGTAAAGTGCCGAGCTTACTTAAGTGGTTAGTTCCAGGAATAAAGCACAAAGGGGAAGCGAAAGTGGAGCCCAGCTTTACCATCATATCCACCAGTTTCTCAATACTTTGTATTGTCTGTTCTCTAGTTGTCCTAAATAGAGGAGGTCTATCTTGGTGGTGTATGAATTGTGAATGCCCTTTTTCTTCGGTTGTGGTGCTAGCAAATCTTAACTGTAAAAACAAAAGGATCATTGTGCGTATCTTCCTTGAAAAGGTGGCCTGAAAGATGGCTTTTAGTTTGTCTTGATTTCAGAAGCCCAATTCTGGAGTCTCTTTCTATAGGTGCAGTTTGTTGATAGTTCTGACTATTGCAGTAAGCTGAAAGGGGATGTGTTTTGCTTTTTACAATTAGGTCTTGTATCAAGGAATCGACCTGAGGAAGAAGATCAGTACTGGCTGAGTATGGGACGTACTTTCCACAAAGTAACATTAAAAGACAAAATAATTACTGTGACTCGATACCTGCCAAAGTGAGTATCTCTCTGGTTGAGCAGTTTGCTATCAATGTTCAGATGAACATCCTTTTCCAGATGCCTGTACTTGCTTGAAAGAACATACTGTAGAACCTTCTTTCTCTTTGGGAGAAGAAAGAGAAGCACTGCTACCGATGATGCTGAGATTAATGTTTGCGCTTTCTCTTTTAGGTATCCATATGAATCTGCTCAGATAAACTACACTTACAGCTTGTGCCCCTCACACTCTGACTCTGAATTTGTCTCTTGCTGGGTAGAATTTTCCCATGAGAGACTAGAAGAGTACAAATGGAATTACTTGGATCAGTATATCTGCTCTGCTGGCTCTGAGGATTTCAGGTGAGATCTCCTTTTCCATCCAGACTGTTCTGTGTCCTAATTGCCTCTTTTCCTTTTTGACCTAAAATTTCTTCAACAAGTTCAACCCACAAATGCTCAGTACTCCAGGGAGAGTAACTGGCCTGCTTTTACTTGCATGGTGCTAGCAGCCGTTGCCTTGTGGGAATTTTACTCTGTGTTGCTGTTGATCTGATCTTTGATACAGAGTCTGGATCACAAAATTCAGCATGAACTATTTTTTTTTCCTCTGATACAAATTCAAAGAAATGTGGTGGCATTTTGTACCACACAGATGCTTTTCTTGGCTGCTTACTCATTTCTGGATCTGACTCAAAACTTCCATTTAGTTTGAGTCTGTTGGAGGCTTGGTTGAGTCCTAGGCTTAGCTTGACTGTAGTCCTACTCCTAAGCTACGTAGAGCAGGGATTCTTGTTAGCAATATGGGGTATCTCCACTAGTATCAATAGCCTTTTTGATTTCTTCTCTCAACAAAACCAGTCTTTCTTTATCTTTTTCTTTTCAGGTCTCAATCGAAATGCCTTCTGCTCTAATGTGTACCTTCAAAATTCATTTTTTTTCGCTTTTTTTTAGAGGAAAATCCTTTGTAGCCTGTCTTTTACAGAAAAGAAAATACATCTCTGACACAATTACTCTGAAGATAGCCTTGTTTCCTCTTCTGCTTATCAATGTTTTAATAGTTCCCAGTAATATTGATGGCCATTGATGGCCATTCCTTTGCATATCTGCTCTTTCTCACTTAGGGATGGCAGAAAGAGATTGTCACTATACTCACTGAAATTTACAGCAGACAAATATGTATTTTATGTAAAGACAGGTATGTAAAGTCCTCCATAGGAAACTGCTGAACTCTGTCCTGTCTCCCATATTCCGTCAGCCTTATCGAGTCACTGAAATTTTGGAGGACCCGCTTTCTGCTTCTGCCTGCCTGCATCAGTGCCACAAAGCGCATTATGGAAGGAGAGGTGCACTGTGATGTGTACGGGGACAAGCCCCGTTCTGATGAGGAGGAGTGGCAGCTCCTAGATGGATTCATTCGCTTTGTGGAGGGTTTGAACCGCATTCGTCGACGCCATCGATCTGATCGAATGATTCGAGTGAGTCAGCTTTTAGTTGGGTGAGAAGCTGAGTTTGAGTTTTATCTGAACTACTAATGAAGCATTAGCAGAGAGACCCTGAGATAGTCCCAAGGAAGCTGAGGGGTATATGTGTGTGTAATCCATACGTAAAGCACTGTGCTGACTGACATACTATTTCAGACTTCAAAGAGTATGGCCTTGTTAACACCTTGCTATTCCTGAATGAATTAAATTTACCTGGAATGGGTATCCCACGCTGCTGTGGCTGGAACCAGAATTGGAACAGTTAGCTCACTCAATGAGAAGCCAAGCTCTTCTGCATAGCATAGCCATGCCTTAGCCTGTTGGTGCTCTATTTTTAGCTCAGCTGGTCTTCTCTTACCACAAGCTGTTGCTACCTCTTTGCAAACGTTCATTGCTTTGTGCTGTAGATATGGTTAGCCTGGACATGTTACTGTGCCTTGTGATGCAGATAACTGATAAAAAGGGATCTGTGAGGTAGTTAAGCTGGTAACTTCTAGCTGGGTTGGCTGTGTGCTGCAGACCTACGAAAAGGATCTTGAAAGGAGAACCATATGGGTGAATTCCTGGTGAACAGGAGTTTCAAGAGGGTGATGAGAAACTGGTTAGCGTGTATCGAATTCTCTTCCAAGTCACACGCTGAATGGGGTAATTTATTTCAGAGCAAATCCACCTTTTCCAAAATAACATCCATTTTATTTTGAGAATAGCATCCATACAAGACACTAGGCTGTTTCATTTCTTGTGTACCTATGGTTTAACTCCCTTTTTAAAGTGCACTTAATAAAGCTCTGCTGACGTGAGGTGTTGCGTTCTTGCTTACTAGTTAAGCATAGCTTGACTAAGTCTGTGTTTTCATTTCTTCTTTCTTAGAAAGGGTCTGCCATGAAAGGCTTGCAGATTGCTGGTCCAATTCCCACCCACTCTCTGGAGCAGCCTGGGCCTCCTATTGGGAAGAAGGGAACCTCAGCACTCTCAGCTCTGCTGCAGATGGAAGCCAGTCAGAAGTGAGTCTCTGCAACTAGGCTGTGAGAAGAGCACGTATAAGTGCTCTGATATAAGTGTACACAAGTAACACCACACCAGTTGAGTGGTCTCAGTATAAACATTGGGTAACATACAGCCTAAAGAAAACAGCTTGTTTGCACTGGTAACAGCTATTAAAATACCTGTGAAACTTCTGAGGTTCTTTTTCAGTATTGATCTAGAATGGTTCAAAGAAACTCGTACTAATACAAGATATGCTGTAAACATAATTTAAAACATTGTTGTTGTTAAATACATAAGATATTTTAATTTTTTTTAATGATAAGGTAGCATTAGACATACATGATAAAAGTGAGTAAGTTTGAGGGCCAATGTTGTTTATGTGGGGTAAAAACTACTTAGAGAACATTGGATTGACTCTGCTTCAGAGTGTGGGAAAGCAAATGTCTGGAAATATGGTAGTACCCCTCTGCAACAGTTGCCTTCAGGTAGAAGCTGGCACAGAATATGTTTTAACAGCCTCTGGATTCGTTCCTTTTGTTTTAGGACACTGGGGGAGCAGCAAGCAGCAATGCTTTCTGGGAAGAGCTCTGGGCAGCCTTCAGAGAGTGGGAGCATTGCTATCACACCCACCTATATGGACAGCCCTCGTAAGGTAAGAGCTTTCTGGTCCGTCTTTAGCTCCTCTTTTTACATAAGAATTTCTCAAATAATAGATTATTTCTCTAAGCACATGGCTATATCATACCACATCTTACTCTCTAATCAAGCAAGGACTGCTCCTCTACTGATGATGCTCTTAAGCAATTGTGTGTAAGGGCATAAGAAGAGGTTGAGCCACAACTATCCTTCAATTCTTTAATTCTGTGACAATGAGGTGGAATCCCTGGGATGTTATCTCAGTGTGTTGCTAATTTAAATGGTATTTGTTAATTAGTCCATCTACTTTTCTGGTAGCACATTTCAGTTCAGTCAGGGTTGGCTTTTTAGATTTAGTAGTACAGTGCTGCCTGCATCTATATGAAGGCTGTCTTTAAGAGCAAAATCAAGCTCTAGAGCGTGACTGTGTGACGCTTCAGTGGAATTTTAACAGCAGGAACTTAAGTCACTTGCATCTGCTTAGAGGAGAGGATGTGTTCCTGCGTAGTGATTTAGATGTCATTCCTTCACTGGCTGGACTCCAGGCTGGAGAAAACAGTCTTCCTGGAGCTCTCTTCAGACACTTAAAGAAAAGACTGTGCTGTGCCACAGCCTTCCTGTCAACTGTCCTGAGTGTGCCAGGAGAGCAGAAACTACACCTTCCAAGACCAACGAGAAATAGTTGATTATTTTTCTGTATTCTGGTGTGAAGGTCTTTTAGCAGAAGTAACAAGGAACAGAACAAAGATACAATGCTTAAGTGTGACCCATCTTTGGGTTCAACAGTTTGATGTGTTACAAAGAAGTTCTTCTCAGATTCCCCACTATCAACCATCTCTTTTGGTATTTTTTTCTTAGCATCTAGTGTTTTGACATCCACCCTTTTCTGGCACCACGACGGTCATGTGTTGTGTTATTCTGGACACCTGGATATTGCTTGTCGAAGTGATAGAGTAACTGCAATCATCTTAGTAATTGATACCTATGTGTAGAATGAGAGTGTTTCCAAAACACAGATGAGATTCTGGAGCAGGTCATGCCAGGCTTTTGGAAAAAGGAGGTGCTGAAATTGACTTGAGGCATGTTTACAAACTTGCAGGTCATAATTCAGGCTTTGCCTGAATTATTCTTCTACCATTTTGGAAAATCAACAAACTTCCCTCTTTATTTAAAGAAACTGTAAATATCTCTTTCTACCAGTAAAACTGGTGAAACTTCCCTGTAGGGCACAGGACACAAGAATGTTGTGTTCGGTTGTTCTGTGCGGCAGAGGGAAAAAGGCAAAATTGGATTCCTTAGCAATGGCACCTAGTGTGTTGGAAACAAAGTATCAGACTTTGTGCTACCAGCAAATGTGATCTTGTGTAATTTTAAAAGTAAAAATATTCAAAAGCCTCTCTGGAGGGCTAAGTGGAGAATCTGAAAGAGCGTGTTATCAGTTGAAAGCCTTTTATGCTACAATAGTAAACACTCCTATAAATATTTACACATAGAGACTGGGAAAGAAGCAGTTGGCATTTCCAAATTGACACCTCACACTTGTTGGAAAGGTGCCCGTGGACAGGTAGCCTTATCAGGCAACTTTGTGCTCACTTGGAAACATCAGCCAAGTGTGTGCCTCATGTCTCCAGGACAACACAACCCCTTTAGGGCTCACCAGCATGGGTATGTCTATTGGCTGTCCAGAGACTTGCAGCCTAAGTACTGACAAATTGTCACAGCTGTGTGCTCTGTCAGCAGCCAAGGGAGCAAGTGCTTTTCTAGGATGCTATGCAGTGCTGGAGTTACTCCAAAACAAAACTGAGCCACTGGTTCCACCTTTACTCTGTTTCAGAGTAGAACTGACAAGTCACTTCAGCCAGTTCCTGGGAAATACAGTATGATTTTTAACATAGTGAGTTAGTTTGATGCATAATCTGTTTAGGAAGCCTTTGCCATTACAGATACAGGGTGCTTGGCTCTGCTTCTGCACTGCATAAATTGCCAGCCATATAACCCTGGCATTGATTCTTCCAGAAAGTGTTTTATATGTACATACCAGGGTAAGCATCATCTTAACTGCAGGCTAGACAAAATATTTTGCCTAGGGAACAGAATAAAGAATTGCAAATAAGGAATAAAAATCTAGTTGATTTCCACTGCATTGTCTTATGTGATAAGAGAATCTTGACACATCTTTGAATAGCAGCCGGGGATAAATTCATCCAGGGTTTGCAAGTAGGCGGGGAACATAGCACAGGCAGTGTCTGTTTAATTTTGCATGAAGTATTAAACACAGTGTTGGAAAGATCTTTGTGATGAATTTTTCTTCCCTTTCCTTTGCACGATACCAGACCTGCATTTGAGAGGAAGAGTGTGCTTCCTAAAAAGAGCTTCTTTCCTCTCCCTCTTTTATCATTTCAGTGACTGACAGACTAGAAAAAAAGCTGTCCTCCTTTGGATATTTGTCATTACACATGCAGTTCTACACGTTTCTGTATCACTATTCAGCTTTGCATTTGGGATGGAAACCCACATACTTTAGAGCTTGAGTCTTTCTCCTGTGAAGCATGGAGGGAAGGCTGTAGTTTCAATTGGCTTCTGATCAGTGTCATTTTCAAATCTTTGGAAAAGCATCTGTGCTAAGGAAGAGCAATGTCTTGTTACAGAGAGAGAAAGTAAGGGTATGTGTGCGAGTAATGCTCTGCATTCTGCTGCATCTGACGTTCTGGGTCTGGTTGGGATTTGCATTCTCCTCATACTTTCTCTCTGTGGTCATTTCATACTTGCACAACCTTGTATTTGCTTTTCTTCAACTCCTTGTTCCTGTTGCTGTTGCCATTAATGGGCCTACTTCCTCTGATGCCTTCAGGATGGGGCCTTCTTTATGGATTTTGTTCGCAGCCCACGTACAGCTTCAACCTTCTACTCACAGGTTAGTTTTGAATGGGTTCTTGTCATCTCTGGCTTTTGGACGGAGGTGATGGAAAGCATTTTTTTGTCCTGAGCTTGCTATGTGGGGAAACTGTGGTGGTTTCCAGATCTGCTCATTGAGAGATGCACAGCATTAGCAGGACAAAGTGGCTGGTGGATGTAACTATCTCCTTCCACCGTTCAATGTTTGTGATGTGCTTTGGATGTTCATGTGCCCTGCCTTACTGTCCTTTGCAGTACTGTCTTGTCAACTACTGAAGCTTCTCTTTTTGTGTTTCAATAAGTACTCGTTTTCCATCTTCCTTTGCTAAACAAAATGGCAACAGCTTACTCATCTTGTTCTTGGCTAAATTTCTTCTCTGGTATTTGACTGACAGGTAGCTCTGGGGAGATCCAAGTCGAATTGTGTCCTTGGATTCTTGAACAACTGAGGGCTGAAAATACCAGTGTCATCTTGGTTTAAGAGTTACTGTGACAGAAATTGTTTATACACTTAAAACCAGTTAAGAGTTAGCAGTAACACAGTGTGTCCATAGAAAATACTGCTGGTTGAAGTGAGCTCTGAGGAGGTAGAGTGGATTTAGCTGGCTGTGGGAACTGTAGATTCCACATTGGAGCATCTGCCAGTTTTGGCTGCCCAAAAAGGGACATCTGCCATTGCAGAGTGGCAGATTTTGGGATGTGAGAAATGGCATAAATAAAGGACTCTGGTCTGGCTATGAGACCTAAGTCAAACTACCAGCTTTGTGATTTTCAGCTGTGCATGTGCTGTGGATTCATCATGGCAGATCAGCCCTCATATTTACACCAGCTTGAGTTACTGAGTTGCTCTGCTGTTAGCGTTCCTCTCCCCCACCTCTCTAGCTTTTATATAATATGCCTTTCCTAAACCATACGTGTTAATGACAGATGGCAATTACAGCCTGTACTTTGCTGAATCTTTCAGCATTCATGTTCTTTCTGAAATGATTTTATGTTAATTTTGTGAACTATTCAGTCTACCATTGGAATAGTGCAAGCGTTCCTGCGGGAGGAAAGTGTTCTTGTTGTCTTGGTGACATAGGTGTGGGTGGGTGCTAACCAGCCTCCTGATACTACCCTAAGAAAGGAAGGAAGATGAGCTGATTTTGCGCATTATGAAACTTGAATTCCGTGTGATAGGTTTGCATATTTTTGTCTGAGAGTTAAGAGTTGAAACTGTTTTTTTCTAACTGCTTACTACTTTCCCGTAGTAATTAATTTTCCTGTTCTGTCCATTGCATGTTTATAATCAGTTATTCACTCAAGTTAAAAATGTCAGGTTGGGACTGGTGTTGCTGGTTTGCCAGTAGTTCTCTCAACACAGCTGTTGCTGTATTGGTGATCCTCATCTTTACCGGGGTCTGAATTTCATGTTTGTCAGTAGGTCTGTAGTGATGACAAAAGTAAGACACTATTTATCCTTTCTGCATATGCTTGTGCTTGCCTTATAGTACTGCTTGTTGTTAACAAACTTGAGCTGAGGTACAGATGATGCAGGGAGGGGAGAAAATGGGAAAGGCTTACATCATAAGTTTCATAAAGATGTGGCTGTGTTTACTCCTTGTAGGTCTCCATAGATCAGTCAGTTCCTGCAACCTCAGATGGCAACACGTTAATAAGCATGGGGCAGTTACCAGACAGGGGCAACACGCAGGCCTTGGGAAGCTCCCAGAATGTTGCAGACCAAGGATATACTACAACTGGTGCTGCAGAGGGCAGGTGAGAAAAGCACAGCAATGCTATACTGCAGTTCTGTTCAGTTACATTCCCCTTTCTGGTGTCAAGGAATGGGCACTTAAACAGAAACCTGAGAACAAGATGTGCTGTGTCTGTCAGCACTAGAAGGCACTTGTCACAAGACCTTACTGCAGCATTTCCACATGCAGAAAGGGTGGTAGTAAAATAAGCCTTGCAACCCAGTTTTCCAGAATGAAATGAACACAAGACCTGATTTCCCCACCAACAAAAAGAGCTTCATTCTTCAAGAAACAAAGAACGAAGAAATTCCATTTCTGAAATCTGCTAGCAGAAAACCAGGCTTTGAATTGACATCTGTCTTGTGTCTGTTTTAGCAAAGGGGGGCCCTGCAGGTCTAACTGGATCAAGTTAATGAAATCCAAGAGGTTCTAACCTGGAGGCGAGACACCGGGGAGGAAGCAACGTTAAAAATAAACTATATTAACACCTGTTTCCTGAGGTTGTATATTACAGTAAAAAAAAAGGCCAGCCTCAAAATGTTTGTTCTCAATTGCTCCTCAGCGGCTGGCTGTATGTAATATAGTGTGCATTGGGTCAATATAGCAATGACCCAGTGACCTCAGGGGGAAAATACAGGTCTGATGCTTTTAGTTGCCCTTCTTGAGATGAAAGATGAAATAAATGTGGCAAAATCATTGTTGGGAAGAGAAGAGAGAGCATTTTTCTTAAATGTACATATTTGAACAAATCTGGCAGCTTCCTTGATTTTTGAACATGCTTCTGTTTACTTCCCAGCTCACAGCAGTGTTCAGCAAGCACTCTGACTTCCTCCTCCACCTTGGTAGAGATTCTCGAAGCCATGAAACACCCCACGTAAGATCTTAATATAAATAGGCTTAATATCTGTCTAGATGTTTTGTAAGAGCGCATGAGGTGTGGAGTCACTCAAAGGAGAGACCCATGCCAGCTGTGGAAGAGTTTTAAGCTTCCTTTTGTTATTCAGTTCCAATTTCTCCAACAAGGAATTTTATAGAAATTGAGGTGCAAGCATTGCTGCAGAGACTTCAATTATTAGAATTCCAGAATCTTGTCAAAGCAAGAATTCTCAGTAAGACACTAAAGTGCTGTCAAGTGTCAGCTCTTCATTTTGTTACCAGAAGCTAATGGTATGTCACTGTGGGGGCGTTGTGCATTTCTTGTCCTGTATCTTTTATCCCCCTTTTCTTTTTCCCCATCAGCGATTTTTGTCTTTGTGACTTAAAAGAACTATCAGTCAGTCCATGTTAACATGTGTGACTTGCTGTGATTCAGCACAGGGATCCAGCTGCTCTCTGAACAGAAGGGCCTCTCTCCGTACTGTTTCATCAGTGCAGAAGTTGTACACTGGCTGGTGAATAACGTGGAAGGTGTGCAAACCCAAGCCATGGCGATTGACATAATGCAGGTAAGAGAACTGTTCAAGGGATATATGGAGGGCCAGAAATACTCACTCTGAAGAAAGTAGAATTGTAGAAGAAAGCAAAGCAATAATTTCTGTTTATTATTAAAAACCTCTTATTGATGGGTATTGAAAACAGTGTTCAACAAAATGTGAGGTAACGATGACAGTTTTTGGATTCCCTATCACAAACCAGCAACATGTTCTTGAGTAGTAATATATATTATTTTTTGCACTTAAATATGATGACAGTTCTGTGTATAACCTATTAGCTAGTAGTTACCAAGACCTCTCCATTGTGTTAGAATTATGAGACACTACTGATTTGATTTTGGTTTTAGTATTGTTTTTTCTTCTCATAATTAGTTAATGAAGTTGTAATAAAACCAGTATATGACCTCATTTTTATGGATGCTAAAGTATACACACTTTACGCAAGATACATTGCTTGTGTTTATGAATTTATTTTTCTTCCCTATCCAACTGTGTCAGGGGCACAAGGTTGGAAATGTTTTGGAGTTCATTCCTCTGCTGAGATCCCATATCAATTAACAGAGAGCCTAGGCTGTGTCCAGTTCTTACCTTCGTATAAATCCATCTATCAAACCAGAGCAGGGTAAGGGAGGAAGGCAGACATCTGCGGAAAGGTCAAATGCAATCTCTCAGGGAGATAAGGACTTGCTACATTTACTGAATATCAAGAGATAACATTGCTGATATTCTCATTAAGCACATATCTGGACAAAAAGATGTCAAGTAAAAGAAAATTATTTCCTAATGTTCTCTAGAAACCTTTTTATGTAACTGGAAGAGTGACTTCTTTTTTATCGTGTTTGCTCTGTTCTCTTTTTTTGTTCAGAAAATGCTAGAAGAGCAGCTTATTGTCCATGCGTCTGGAGAAGCTTTACGAACCTTTATTTATGGCTTTTATTTTTACAAGATTGTTGTGGACAAAGAACCAGACCGAGGTCAGCATTGTGTTATTACAAGACTTTCCTCATTATCCCTTTGCATAATCACTATCTGTGCTTGATTCTTATGGGTGCTGCAGCAGAAATGCACTTTGGGAGCAACCAAAACCACTGCTCTAAAGAGAATCAAAGAAACTCAGCCTTTTTGTCTTTTTTTTTTTTTTTTTTTAAAAAAAAGGAATTTCGGAAAAAGTAAAGCATGTGGGTCTTATATGGGCGATATCATTCTAAAATACCAAAAGTCCAGAAAGCTACAGATGAAGGCAACTACATGATATTAGTTTACTGCCCTCTGATTTCCCTTAAAATGGCATTACTTGTTGTCAGTCAGTGGCTCTTATTTGAGTAAATGGAATGTATGACAGGCAGAAACAAAGAAACCCAGCCTTTTTGTCTTTTTTTTTTTTTTTTTTTAAAAAAAAAGGAATTGCGGACAATGTAACATTTTTTTTTTTTCTTCCCCTTTTTCAGAAAGAACTAAGGCTCTTTCTTGGTCTCAGACACTTGTTTCTGACTGTGATCTGTCTTTTCCCTTGCTTTCTGTTCAGTGGGCATGCAGCAGCCTGCGATGTGGCACACAGCTGCTATGGATGACTTCTCCGCTTTCCAGAGGAAATGGTTTGAGGTGGCATTTGTGGCAGAAGAGCTCCTGCACTCGGAAATCCCAGCGTTTTTCCTGCCCTGGCTGCCCAGCCGCCCAGCCTCCTATGCAAGTAGGCACAGTTCCTTTAGCCGCAGTTTCGGAGGACGGAGCCAGGCAGCTGCACTATTAGGTAGATGCACAGCACAGGTGACAGCTGGGGAAGTTCAGGGGGATAGTTTGAAAGGGGAAGAGCAGCCAGCCAAGGGTATGATCTCACGTGGACCAGCAATAAAGCTGCAAATTTCATGCTGGCCTTACCTGTGTCTTGCATGGGGACTTGTTCTCATATGCTGGAGGTATGTTTCACTGGCTGAGTCAGGCAATTTTTGCTTCTGAGTACTGGAATACGGTAAAAATTATTCTTCAGATATTCCTTGTTCCTGAACCTCCCCCCCATGCCATCCTCTAGAATTCAGAGAGGAAAATACTGACTCAGTCTCCTTGCAGATCCAGAGACTCTTTACAACCTGTGATGAGCATGGAGGGATAAGTTATGAGAATAACAGAGCAACCAAACTGTACTTAAAAAGGCATGTCTAATTGCTATTTAATGGCAAAAGCCACAGTGAGATCCAGATACGTTAGAAGTTTTCTGTGATGTGCTGGAGGCTTCTCGGTGAACGTGAACTGTGTATTGCCAGACTCCTTATATTAAAGTCTGGGAAGCCCAGCTACAAATGATCCCTGCAGCATGGAAGCAGTAGGGTTTGTGTATGGAAGATCTTGCTGCTGGGCGAGATACCATTGTAATATCTAAAGTTCTGTAATGTGTGTAGTATAACACTGACTACCACTAACAGCCCGTGAAACATACTGGCTGCGTGATTGACTCTGTTGCTTTGTCAGCTTTTTGTTGCATTTCCAGGCCAGCCTGAGTCACTTGCTTTTGCTGTTTAAAATTACAAGAAAAATCATTGCTATGGAACTGCAACTTCAGTTTTATTTAGATGCATCTTTTAAAGGCCTACCAATTACGGATAAAAAGAAAATTCTGCTGTTGTCCGTTTTGTGTATTTGACCTTCTGAAGAGAAGTTACTTACTGTTGGTGTAGTATCTCTTAAACCTGAAGTTACAGTAATCCTTGTGTATTTCTGAAAGCCTTGTTTGCAGAGGAACAGCATCAGAAATGGGAAAATGTTAAGGATAGGAAGTCTGAACTAATGGTTAATTCCCTGAAGCAAACATATGCAGGATATTTTTCCCTGTCACATGATAAAATCTGTTGCCTTGGCTAGTATCCAGCTTCATTAGCTCAATGATTGGCCAGAGCTGAAGCCTGAATGTAGCCTGGCATGAAAGTATTGTGAAGGCTGTGGAGGTACTTGGGCCAGATCCTGTTCCTGCTTTGATCTCTTACTCACTATTTAGCCCAAGAAAACCACTTCACTTTTCTATGTCTGTCTTCTGTGAGATGAGAAGACTGATACTCAATAAGCTTGCACCTGGGGAAATGGGCAAAGACAGAAGGGTGCTTTTTAGTGCCCCTCTCACCTTTTTTCTTTAATGCCAGCCAAGAAGGAGTGTATTCCCTCAGCATATGATGTACTTACAAACCTGTTTAGCCCTCCTTTTTCATTTCAGTTGGAATTATGTCCATTCTGCTATTTGGCTAATTTGCAGTCCTTGGATGAATGAAAAATGCCTCCAGATTGCTCACATGCAGTCTGGTTATTCCAGGAATAATAGTTTCTTGGAGAAAAATCCAGTGTGGAACTCTTTTCTTAGAAAGGAACTGGTTTAATTGATCTTTCTGTGCTGTCCCTCTTCTAAACAGTATTAAAAAAAAACAAAACAAAACCAAACTTAAGCAGTTCATCTGAGGCAAGGAGCTTTACTAAACCCAGATGACCTCTGGTCCACGTGACTTCATTTGTTCCTCTCTTGGCTTTGATTTGGTTGTGGTTTTTATTTCTTCCCCTCCCCACCTTCCCTAAATGTCAGGCTGTGACATAAAATTGCATGCAAGCATTGGGAGCTCTGGAACAAGCTCCATGTATCTCTAAAATCTGTATACCCCCCAATTCCCCTGTCACTTGCCCAGTGATTTTCCCCTTTCCCTTCCCAGTGGAAGTCTGACCTGTGATATACCTAATCTTGTCCCTTTTGATTTATAGCAATGCATGCACTAGCAATTGTAGTCACGTACATAGCGTAGTTTGTGACTGGAGAATAACCTGCCTGCTCCTCTCCGATTTACTCAATAAATCATTAGTTAAATACTCAATGGTACGAGACAATTGGGAAGCAGGTGAGTCCTCTTAAAATCAGATCTACAGATGCCAGAGTTTATTCTATTAAAATTAAGTTGGTTTTGATCCAAAGCTTCTGAATTCAGACACATGGATATTTTTCATGAGTTTTTAAGGTCCTTTTGGTTAGCTCACACCTGGCTGGACTGTGTTCCTGTTGCTTTGCCTGTGAATTACAGCTGCAGGCGAGGTGGAGAGAGAAGCTCCAGCCCTAATGTGAAGCCTGAATTATCTGGAAAAAGAAACAGTCTAAGGGAGCAGGTAGCTCATTCTTCACAGTGTGCTAGTTTGGGCACACTGGACTGTGGTGTTATCGCTGACCTCTTAACTAATGACCAACATCTACCTGACTGAGCTGCTTTCGCTTTACAGATTTTGGGATGTTGTTTTCCAACATACTTTGTTACAAAACTGGCACCATAACCTTCTAACCACAAGCATTGCATTCACAGTGATATTCCACTGAAAAGAGCAAGAAAAAAAACCTCAGAAGATGTTGGTCTGTCTGACAATACCAGACCAACTCAGAAATTGCAGATGATACATTTCCCAAAGACAAAAATGGATCTTATTTACAAAACAAAACTGGGTGAT